CATGCTTTATCTGGAAGTTTTGCATTGAACAGGCAGTTGGACCCAATAGACCTAATGGCCCCTCCCAGCTCTGTTGCATGATTCTTTGGCTCCTTTGAGCTACATAGGTTGAATTAGCTAGATCACTGCAGAATAGTGTGGTCCCTGCTGCACTGAAAGAAGTGGTGGTGCAACTACCTATGAAAAAACCTTTATTTGATTCATAGATTTATACTACATATTGCCTGGTTATAAATAACCCCCAACCCCACTTTGGAAAAGGTTCTCAAGAGAATGGTCGGCAGTGTTAGGCACTTTTAAATGACACTGATTATCTTGATCCATTCCAAGATGGGCTCAGGTCTGGTTTTGAAAAGGACTCAACCTTGGTTGCCCTGATGCATGAGCTGCTTTGAGAGAGAGAGATAGGGAAAGCAACTATTCTTTCTTCTTTATCTTATGGCAGTCTTTAGTATCACTGACAGCAATATCCTTTTGAATTGTCTCTATTATTTGGGACATAAAGTCACCATTTTATGGTGGCTCAGCTCTTAAAAGTTGGGTTTAGGGAATAATATTGCATAGCTTTATCTAGACCCTGCAGAACACTCTTCTATTCCCCAGCATTTAACTTTTATATGGAGCTGTTAGGAATTGCCAGTAGGAGATCTGAGGCAAAGTTTGTGGCTCTGTTTCTCTGTGACATAGAAACACATTATAAAGCAATACCTGAATATAGTTATGATTTAGGTGATGTCCAGCAAACTGAAACAACTTTACATGGTGTGCCAACTGTGTCCATTTCTGGATAGGGATAACCTAAACAGTATAGTCTATGCACTAGTAACCTCATGATTAAAATGATCTAAGTAGTGCTGCCTTGAAGCCTAGTTTAGAAGCTGCAGCCAGTACAGTAAGTAGCACATAAAATACTAAGTGGAGACCCGAAATATACACAAATTATACTTGTTTCAAGGAGTTGTACTGGCTTCCTTTAAGCTACAGAGCTGTTCTTGAGGTTTTGCGGGTCACATGCCAACTATAAGCTTCCCAGGATACCTAGCTGAGCATCTTTCCTCGTATAGACCTTGTTGGTCCCTGCAATCATCTGAGAAAGCCTTACTTGTCCTTCTCTGACAAATAGTATGTTGTCAGATAGTAATAAATAAGAGGATCTTCTCACTGATGTGGTACCCATCCTTTAGAACATTCTCCTTTGTGAGGTTTGAGATGCAGAAACATGGCAAGTTTTAAATGCATCTTGTAAACATAGGCTCTCCCTGATTTGTGATAGCCTCTGTTACTTCCTTTGTTTTATTGTTACAATATTGTACTGTTTTGAAATGTACTTGATGTTTTTACTTACTATTAAATCTTGCTTCTGTACTACTAGGTTGTATTTTAATGTGAACCAGTTAGCTATTTTAATATATTAATCAAAATAAAAGTATAAACAAATGAATAATCAGCTTCATCATGAAAAATAAGCTTCTGGGTAGGGGACATTACTTCTTTACCTATTTTATTGCCTAGATCTATTAAATTACACATAGTACTGATTTATAACTTTTTCTCCCTTCCCTGTTCCTGCTTCCCACTTTGTATCATGTCTGTTAGAGGGTAATGAAACAGATGGTGAAATTAGAAGCGGTTTTGTACATTTTCTAAAAAATTTTGCATTGGAAAATTTTCCAAGTCAAATTAAGTTAATTTGCATAGGTTATTTTCATCAGGAAATTTTCTGATGCCCTTAAAAATTACTTAATGCACATATGATTTGAATGTTGTTTTATGGAAATTGTATTAAAATACTTCTAAGAACAATTTAACAATAACATGTATTTGTTTAATTTTTTAAAGGTACTAAAAATGGAAAATGTTAACCGGGTTTGCATGTTATAGCATCAATTCCTGGATTGTTTAACCCAGGAATTGCACAGATAAGCAGAAAAAGTGAGCCATATGCTATTTTTTTCTTCTTTTGATTAACACGTCAGAAACACCCCATTTCTAGTCTTTTGTTTATTTAATTCATTCATTTTTATACCACCCAATAGCTGAGGCTTTCTTTATGATGTGTGAACCTGTAATAATAGGTCATTTAACCTATAAACAACTCAGGATTAACCTAACAATTGCCCTGCGTTTTCAGATTTTCACATTTTCACAAAACAACCTAGTATAAGAATGTTCTTGGATTGTTAACAGTGAGAGGGCATGCATGGCTTGCATACTCTGCTTGTTCCTAGAGTTCCTGAGTTAAACAGCATGCAAATCAAACCATTACTTAAATTTAGCACCTGGAAGAGCTGGATGATATGCTGACAATCACTCATCTATTTCAGCAGGTTTCTGTTCCCTTTCACTAAGATTATTGGGGCACCTTCAATTTTTCTGTCACTCTTCTTTAGTTCTTTTAGACTTGAAGATGCACATGTATTTCAGTATTCTATATGTATGCTAGTAATCACCAGGAGAAAAAAACATTGCAGTTTTGAAACTGCCAGGCTTGCTTAATGCTTTATTTGCAATTAGCTTACATTGACTGGGTTTGCTGAACTTGAAAACCCCTTGTGTGTAAATAGCCATGATGTAAGTCAAGTAAGTCAATCCCCTTCAGAATGTCTTGTTTTGAAGACACTCTGATAACCCATGGCTTGTTACAAGGGTTTGTAAACCAACCAACAATTGGTTTGGTTGGTTTTAAACCAACAATTGATTGTTGTGTTATCCAAGCCCAGCAAAGTGATCCCATCTTGAACTGTGGGGAGGAGATACACACTTATCCAGAGCAGCAGATATGCATTGTCACTCTTCACAATCCTGCAGTGATGTTGCCCAAGCAGCACTTCTGACTGACTGTTGCTGGTCACCCCGCCCCCACTTCTTTCTGATACCAGAAATTTATGCAGATGTCTCTAAGCCTTAAAATAAAAAGGTACTTTTTCAGAGTTCTGCAACTGCTTTCTTTTTCTTGCCACTGTTTACTTCATGCCAAAACGGAGCCACAAAAAGAGGGTACCTTTCTGGACTATCTGGAAATTTAGAAAGTTACAAATGTGAGAAAGTACTGTGTTAGTGCAACACTTACAATAAGAAGACTACTTTGTGATGGGAGGATCCAAAACACACACCTGTAGACCAAATGGTCCATGTTCTGGAGTGCCTATGCCCAAAGTACACAACAGGAAGGTTTTCTTTTAAAAGATTTATTCTTGAGAATAACTGGTTACCGAAGAATCATTCCAGATGGTGAACCCAAGCAGTTTTTAGTTGGCCCTTTTATACATTGATCATAGAGGATTATATGTAACACAGTTAACACTTTCCAATAGATTACAGAAGTAAAAAGTTACAATGGTGTGATCTTTCCCACTTGCATACCAAAGAAGATGCTCCAAAGCGGGAGCAGGGGGGAGGATAGAGTACTGTTACGCAGAAGAGAAGGAGGATGGGGTGGGCTGGTGTGTATTGCCCTTTGTTTGACCTGCTCTTAGCTGTCAAGTGCCAACTAGATTTCTTTGGAATGATGCCTGGTTAGAGTCAGCTACATTTCAAGGATGCATACATGCTGATTTCTAGAAAAGAGGGTTTTTCTCTGGCTTGGCTATGTGTCAATGACTGCATGATTACATTTGGGTAAGTTATACCTCTTGATTTGTACATCACCCCTTTTGTTTCATTCACTTTTGCATTTTCCTCCTGATGGTGTGTTCCAGTTGACAGACACTTGACAGTTGTTAACTGTCAGCTGTATGCATGTAGGTTACATACATTGTTGTTCACCTCATCATTCTGTTACCATTTCACAGCTGTAACTGACACTGTAATAGACTAGACAAGAGTTTAAAGAATGCACATGTACAACGTTGAATGTTATCAACAAACTAAATAAAAAAAAAATTAGGAGGACACTTGAACACACTTCATCCTAATAATAATAATAATAATAATAATAATAATAATAATAATAATAATAATACCCCAGTTATGCTTTTTAGAATTCCTCTGGGTGGGGGGCAAGGAATGCTGAAGAGTCAAAAGGTATTGCAATTTCAGTGGAGAATGAGGGAAACACAAGATGTGCCATAAGGGACCCTGGGATACCACTGAAGGAACAAGGGGAGAACCAATGATCTTTTAGGTGTGCTAAGGATTGGTCCATGATTAACCCACATTGCATGGTTGAATAGCTGAAAGGTGGGTTGTTGTGCTGTGTGAACTCAGCCATTAATTATTACAAATGAGCTCATGATTTTTTTTCCATTTTGAATAAGTTCCATCCCATAAGCCACATGAATTGTTTATATGAAGAGATGGAGCATTAGTACTGTACAGAATGATTAAGAAAAAGAAAATCTGATACAAGCAAAACATAAGCGGGACTTGAAAGCAAAATATTGTTTCTGTTGCATAAAGAAAGTGATAAGATTCAAACTGAGAGAGTGATACAGTGCAAAATCACATTAACAGTGATACAAGTGGCAACATTTAAGAAAGAAAAAAAGTGACTTAAAATGGGAAATAGGACACCTGTTAGGAAGATACTGCAATTGTCAAGTTGAAAAAATATGAGAACCTCAACAAGAGTTCTAGTATTCAACAGTAAGAAAAGAACAAACTTTTTTGAAAAGTAAAATTCATGTTGCTGAAAACATGCATGTAACACATAGGTTACAGGATGTTCATTACACTGGCGGAAAGGTGACACACTGATGTTCATTACACTGGCACTGCTTGCAGAAGGTGCCTCTGCTTGATTTTTGGAGAACCACTCTTTCCTGCTCTGTACACCCTGACCCACTGCACTCAATCAAGTGCCCTGGCCTTCTGTGTAACAATTTCTTGGAGGTAACTGCTGTGGGAAGAGATGTGGGAAGGTCTGCTGATACAAATCGGGATCTTTCCCTGCGACTTCAAAAAATAACAGCTGAAATTTGTTTGTGTCAAGTTGCATGCTTGCTAAAATAGAAGATCACTTGCTTTTTGGAGAAATGCATTTAAAGACTTTTCTCTTGCAGACTAATAAGGTATTTCTGAAGACTGTAATGGAACAGAATGCAGAGCTGGAACTGCTACGAAAGCAACAGAGGTATACATAAGTGCATGTGCAAAGTGCTGCACAGTTTTCAATGATTCCATCCACTGCAGTTTCCATGCCATATTGTGACATGTGTCCCTATCCCTTATGGGGCTATGTACCATTTTCCACCCTGATAGAAAGGTGGTGCCCTGATTGAAAGTGTTTGGGGAATTAGCAGAAATCATATGAGGAATTAGACAATTCACAATGGTTTCCTCACACACAAGCAGCTTTGTTTACAAGCTGATGGTTGTTGGTTGATTTGGCAGTATCTAGGGTGTAAACAAGCATTAGCATACATTACCTGTATTGCAACACCAATAGTGTTGGCTAGAGGGTTCCCTGGAAAACCTTTTAATCTCTTGTTGTACTATTAATATGACTTTAGTGTCATTCCTCTTACTCCTTTTAGCCCCCTGGCAAGTGGGAGGGGATGGGGTTTAACCTTAGGTATGGTATGGAGCCAACTCTATTCTTGTTCTCCCTGTTGGCAAAGCAAAAGATAATTTGCAAAAAGGCAATGACCAAGTAGTGTTTACTGAGCATGTTCAGAGGCAAGACGTCAGCAGCACTACTCACAGATGACTCAGATGATGTGCATTTACACAATAATGGTTCCCTCTACACAAGAGAAACAGATCTTTCTTTGACCCTACCCTGGTGAATAATCAGCCAGGTAAGGAGTAGCAGGTGACAACCACAAACTTATCTTGTTGTGTTACGAAGCCAAAGCACTGAATTTGATGGAGTAAACCACCATTATGACACACTCCAGATTGAGAGAATCAGTGGTGAAATCGGTGGTGCCCTGGTTGTTGTCCATCATGGCTGTCATGATGGACAATTGGCATGCATGGGCTAGGACTTTATACCTGAAACAGGGTCTGCAAAATCACTCGTGGATGGTGTCACAGTGGAAGTATTCCTCCACATACTGCTTTTCAGTCCAGATAGGACCTGTGTAAATGATAATCACTTCATATCATGCCCAGCCAGAGGAGAATCATTCCCAAATAGCACTGGTACTTACTTCTGTGGTCATGTTGAGCTTCATTTGATCAACAGGATTGGTCTTGCCCAGCCCATAAGCATAGCCATTTATATTGCAAGATTGGACACCACTACCGCCATGTCTTTCCCCAGACTTTTTTTGTCAGGGTCAGTGACTGTGACATTATTGTAATACATTTTCCAGACCCTCATCTGCATGGGAAAACCTAAGTTGTTTGACCCATATTGAGCTGTGTTATCTGAATCTGGGAGAACAACTTTATCATGGTTGTGGAGATTGTCTAGCAAGCCACTTAAGAACCATGCCATTCTTAATTATCTTACCCATATCAATGCCCAACCAACACTTTGGAGAGAACATCATAGGTTCACCTGCTTCCATTTGTCCCCCCTCCCCTAGCTTCAGAAAACTGCATTAGTAAAAAAGAATGCGGACCTATGTTTTAAGTTTACATTTATCAGTCTTTCTCAAATGCACAGGGGCACATTTATACCATATGAGAAATTTTGCTTGGTCAGTTTCCTTGCCCATTTCAGCTGTCAAAGGGAGTGGCAAATCACAGTGAGAAACAGATTGACAAAGCAAGACTGTATGTAAACAAATTTGTGCATGGTTGCTTGTACCAAACTGTTTAGCAGTAAATTGAAAGGGGAAAACCTGCAATAGAATATGCACCCAAATGGATAAAGGGAGAAGTGCCCCCATTTATCAAGTCTGATCCTCTGAGTTTAACTGCTGAGCATCACCATGTATGCAAATTTGATAACCAGGAGCTAAATGGAGAAGAATTTTACATACAAGAGTTGGGAATCAAGTTGAGAGAAGAGTTGCACACCTGCCTTAACTGCTCTGTTAGAATTTTGTTAGCTTATTTTTAGAGTGGCTTGGCATGACTTGTGACCCAACCTAGCATATGCAGATATTTCTGTATCAAATATCTGCCAGTCATATGTGTTTAAATGCTATCTGCCTGACAAACTTGATGATTTTAATAGGAGCATTTTTGTTTTCATCACCATTATAGATACATGCTTAGGGCCAAACTGGAAGTGACATGTGATCCAAGTAGGACTTTCAACTTCTTTTTTTAGTATTAAAAGCTATTGTGGGAGGTGGCCCCGAATTAGATATAGGCTGTAGTATAGCCACATTTTTTTCTCATAAGGGAAGTAGCAGCAGACAGGCTCTCTAAATTTGGATGGGATGATTAACCCATCCAAGTTGCTATTTGACAGCTCTGCCATATCATTGATTTGTTCTCAATGTCATTTTGCAAAATAATGCATGAAAATTAGGTGGAATGGTATAGATGGAAAGCATCTCTTCCATATAGCTGGAAGTGCCTGATCTTGCTTAATCTTAGAAGCTAAGCAGGGTTGGACCTGGTTGATATCTGTGTGTGTTACTTTTTGCAAAATAATGCATGAAAATTAGGTGGAATGGTATAGATGGAAAGCATCTCTTCCATATAGCTGGAAGTGCCTGATCTTGCTTAATCTTAGAAGCTAAGCAGGGTTGGACCTGGTTGATATCTGTGTGTGTTACTTAACTTTTGTGAACCACCCAGAGAGCTTCGGGTATGGGCAGTATAGAAATGTGAATAATACTAATAATCGAGAATGAACCGAGGCTCATGCGATGGGGCAGCATATAAGTTGTCTAAATAAATAAATAAAAATAATAAATACATTAAGGAGAATAGGGAGTGTAAACGTGTAAGGATATTATATGAGATGTTTCTCTTTTTTAGTGAGTTATTGGACTGCTTGAATGCAGAGCTAAAACCACTTAATAACCTAAGTCAGTCAAGAAAACTTGTTGGGGTGAAAACCAATCTAGAAACTTTATCTTACATAATTTTTATAGAGAAATGGGAACTCTTTAGAGAAGATGTTAATTTCATATCCTAATTACAATATTGTTATTTAATTGCAATAAAATATGCTTTAAAATATGAAATAAAGAATATGATAAAATAAATTTATGACATTGTCTTTCCTTCCTCTTGCATTATCAGAATTAAAATAGAAACCTGATTAAAACATCACAAGTATGTGATGTTTATAGCAGATACTGTCTATATTTCTTTAATCTTTTCCATTTTCATTCCTCAAGCCTCTTTACCCAAACTGAAAACCACCTTTTCAGAAGAATATTAAAATATGTGTAGGTGGCATTTGCGTATAAACATATGTGAGAAAGTGGAATGTAACTGCAAAAAGGGTCATCTCTCTACCAACTCCTCTTTACCAAGTGTGTTTGTATTTTCATGTAATACATAGGCGTAGCCATGTGTGCATATACATTATGACCCAACTTGTACATTATAACAACTGAGGTTAGTAAAAATGAGTAGGAGTGAGTGTCCTAGTTTCTGTTTATTTGTGCTTCATCCCAGGTTTGTTTCTTTGATGTTTGATCCTGTACCTGGTTTAAACTCTGAATTGTTTGTTGATCACAGCAGGAGCAGTCAGGCTAAAAGGAACTAGCAAGCAATCATGCACACCACCATTCATCATGGTTTCTTAACCATGGGTTGTTACTTGTTCAAACTGACATGTATTTGTGTATATGAAAATGTTTCAAAATGTGTGTGTGTGTACTGTATGCATGTGCATTCCATCCCTGTTCCTTTCTCTGTAAAGGAAACAAAGGCCTGTGCCTGTTTGTTTCAATCAGAATTTTAGCATGAAAGTATGCCTTATGTAATGCATGTAACAGTTACAGACTTTTTAATTGGATTATGTTTTTTAGAATGTGTTTGGTTTGCATACATCAGAGCTTCAAATAGATGTTATTTTATATAATTTTAAGAAAATTGGACAAAAGTTCAAAGCTTACTTAATTGAAAGTTACATTTTGGTATCATTTTTGCATTATGCCTAGTTTTGGATGCACTGAAAATTTAAAGTGCAATTACAGTATTTTCCTCTGTCATTTAGAAAGCATCCTTGCATAAATAATTGATTGCTACAGTCTTAGGAGCTAACCCTATATGTAATGAGCATGAATAAATATTTTAGTGTAATTGCCCTGTGTGCAATGGAACTAAGCATAGAAGTACGAATGACTTATTAGATATTATCAGCTGAGGAGTTTTAGGTGCAGGTGAGGAGTTAGTATTCCCCAATCTTATGCCCTCCAGATGTTACGACTCAGAATTCCTGACCATTGGCCATTCTGGCTAGTGCTCATTAGAGTTGAATTCTGGCTAGTGCTCATTAGAGTTGAATTCTGAAACATCTGGAGTATATTTGGCTGAGGAAGGCAACTGTAACCAAGTTCCTGTCTATGGTAAGGCTTATATAGCTATAAACATGGTTTAAGTTTTTACATGTCTCATGTTGGTTTTATATCATATGTATGGGCACAGGCCATGAAAAATATCCACACCCACACCATAATGTTCTGGGGATCATAGCACTGTTAGAGTTCTGTGTAGTAAACTCATTATAAGCATTACTGTACCTAGATGAAATTCCTGACACACAAGTGATTTCAGCAGTAATGTTGTGATTTATTAACAGCAAGTGTATCAAAGATATACAAAATAGATAAAAAGGCGGCATTTTTTATTGGTCCAACTTAAATCTTTCTTTTTAGTCATTCTCAATAACTTTGTCATAAAACAAGAAAATTCCAGAAAATGCAGTTGTCCTTAATAGTTTTCAGAATCTTTTTCCTTTTATGGTACATAGGTAGAATTTAATTACAAGTGATATATGTGTTTGCATGCAGACAGTCCAAACTGAATTTGAGAACAGCTGCTGCAAAGGTTGAAGAAATGACCAGACTCATTGAGGATCTTAGGGCACAGATGACCAGAAAGGTAAACTGCTGTGCTTGTTTAGTTTCAGTCTCAAAAAAATTAATTAAAATTTATTGTATTGTATCATGGGGTTTCTTATATTCAAGCAAAACTTGAATAACTTCTGTGGCTTCCAGGAAGAAGAGATCCTAGCTGCTCGGGAAAGAGAGGAAACATCAGATAGACACTTTCAGCAATTACAATCTAGCATAAAACAGCTGGAGACAAGGTAGGTTATTAAACATTCACCTCATGAACAATTATTGAGATGGTAAGGCTGCTATCCAATACATGTTTACCTGGGAGTAAGCATCACTGAACTCAGTAGGAGTTATTTTTGAACAAACAGTATAGATTCATGCTGTAAATTATAAGAAGCATTTCTGAAATTCTGAACTGTCCCTTTTTAAATAAATTGAAATTTGAATGTGATGACTATCAGTTTGGACCATACATGTACTTTGCAATCTGGGCAGTTCATTATACACTCAGCCCTGGCTTTTGCAGATACCAATTGTATCCAGCAAAGCAGTGTACATGACAAGGTTCAGTTATTAGTCTGATGCTTGTTACTGTAGAGTTGTTAAATTGCATTATGGACCTAATTTAGAAATTTCTATTAAACTAAGTAGAATATTTCCGGAATGGCTATGATCTCAGGACAGCATGGAACAGATCTACACAGTTATCCTTGTTGGTTTCTCAGTACTTGTCTTTATTTTTGTTGTTTACAACCCTTACTTGGCTCCATCAAACAAATGAGCAAATTGCAACTGAATCTCTGAAAAAGGCTTCTGTTCTGGGACTTGCTATTAACTCCCCCCCCCCCCCCAAACTGTTAGCAAATGCATTTCTTACATGTGGATCTTGAACAGGGTGGATAAAAATGGATGACTTAAAAAATTAATTAATTTATATTGACTTTTTTACCAGACTTGGATTTTTAAAAATAAAATGGTTTTTGAGGGGGGAAAATCTATCTAAATATAGTTTTCTATTAAAGACCCGTTATAGTCCAAAGGTTATTCAACATGGAATAAGGATTAGTTTTTAATTATCTAGTATGAGTCTATATATTCATGCAATTTTTCTATCTAGAAGATATTACTTTACAGTTCTCAAAACTGTGAATTTGTGTCTGCAGAAATCACATGCCTCTTCTTCACAGCAAAATAATATAAAATAAATATACAGTGTTGAGAAAAAGACCTTAATCCTATTACTCCTTTGCAAATCTTTGTATGCAGAATCAACTCCTTACCTCTTAAGTGTTAAGTTTTTAAAAATCAATGAACAGAAGAAGATCATTGTGATTAGAATACATCTGCACAAGAAGCTAAGTGTGAAGAGAGTGGAGCGAATAGTAAAAAATTAAAGCGAATACTTTTGAGCAGAATACTCCACAGGCCTTTGGATCTTTTTGTGCATATCCTGAGGTTTATCATATTGTTCTTTCCCTGGAGGAGAAAACTCATAATGACAGCAGGTCATAAAAGAGACCCAGTTTGGGAATATATTTAATAAAGTTCCTCTACCTACAGGTAAAGTAGGCACACATACAAATCATCTAGAAAACCATGATTTAAATCATGATGTAAATCAAATCCACTTCAGTCATGAATGGGGCGAATTTATATCTGAAATGGAGCAATATATTTGAATATTTTCAATTTTAGAACAGTGTACTGTAGCCTATGTTGACTGGTGAACAAAAAGCTGTTTTAATTTCTCTTTGTTTATTTTTGATACTGCCTTTTCACCCAAATCATAAGGCAGCTAGCAATTAAATCCAGATTAAACAAATCATAATTAAACACAGCATAAAGACAAATAAATTGAAAACATGACAACAGAAGAAATAAATAGTACCAAGCAATTAAGCAGTTTACATTAACATTTGGCAGATCTTTGCTGTCAAATCATTTCCAACTTATAGCGACCCTATGAATGAATGTTTTGCTCCTCTCAGCTATTCCAAATGCAAGAGGGCTTCATTTATAAAATATTTCTCTTATTTGATCTTCATTTTTATTTTTGCCCTCAAGTTTCTCTAACATCCTTGTCTTTTCCAGTGAGTCTTGCCTTTTCATACTGTGCCTACAGTATGACAGACTCAATTTGCTCCAGGGCAAGTTCTGACTTGATGTGATCTAGGTCCTACTTGTTCAGTCAAAGGTATTTATAAAGCTCTCAGTCAGTACCATGTTTTGAACACTTCATATTTCTTTCTGTCAGCTTTCATATGCACCACAGAGTGATCGGGAATACATCAGTGTGAATGATCTTGGCCTTCATCTCCCATGAAATGACCTTATCCTTCATGATGTTTTTAGTTCCTTCACTACTGCTCTTCCAAATCTCACTGTTCTTCTAATTTCTTGGCTGCAGTTTTCATCTGACTGATCCAGGTTGCAGAATATTTCACAGCTTCAGTTAACATGAAAGTTGTGTAATCCTTCCGTGTTTTGTTAACATTCAGCAGCAGTCCTGCTTTTGCAGTTCTTCTTTCACTTCTGTCAGGAGTCATTTCAATTTACTGCTGCTTTCTGTCAGGAATAGAGTACCATTTGTATTATCTTGAATTATTCATGTATCTTCCATCAATTTTCACTGCTTCCTTTGATCCTAATCTAACTTTTTGCATGGTATGTTCTGCATACAAATTTAACAGATAGGGAGATAAAATGCACCCTTGTCTGACACCCTTGCCTACAAGAAACTGTTCTGTTTCTCCATATGCTGTGAAAACAGCACTTACTTGACCACAATGCAGGTTGCATATCAGGATGATCAAGTGCACTCATACCATGTACTACAATGTGTAACTGCTCTGTTTCTTACAGTTCCCAGTTTGTCTTTATGCATACTTCTCAGCTTTCTTGTTCCAGTTGTATGCATTGTGCAGCATCTGACTTTTGTTTTGCCTTTCCGCATGTCAGACATTTGACCTCCTTTCAGCTTTGAACTAGTTGCATCATTGGTGACAGTGTTCTTCATACTTTGTCCTTTGCTTTTTCCCAGTACCTGGTTAGTGCCCTCTAATCTGAGAGTCTCATCTTCTGGCACTATTTCTTATTTCATCTTGGATTATTTCATCATAGGATTTTCAAAGTAAGAATAATCAGAAGTGGTTTGCCATTTACTAACCAGAGTTAGGTTTTGAAAGGTCCTCTGTCAGTTTCATCTTCAACTTCCACTGCTGCCCAGTAGTTGCCTGCCTGAATAATAACTGCCTTTGTTCGCTAGTGGAAGGACAACAAAAAGGAGACCAACGTAACCTCCCTCAGCTGAACCTGAATGGGGCCAACAAGAAAACCCACTGTTTGGGTTCCTCCCATTAGCAGTGTATATAATACATCACACCAAAACATGTTTAAGGGATCTCTTTTACAGTTTGGTATAGTGCTGAGGCTCATTTCAAAGAAATTTTCAAGCCTCCAAAAATTTGCTGGTCCAGTTAGTGTGACCCTTTACTTCATTTAGCTTTTTCATTATAAAAATATCACTATCGCAGTCTGTTGAATAGCTTCAGGGAATGTTGGTTTCAGTAGGAATACCACACTGGAAATACACTAATATCTATTAACAGAGACTTTCTTTTTTGGAAAAAGGTGTAAGCCAAACACTATGAGGGCACATTTTTTTATATTCAGTCTTTTTGCCTTAAAATAGTTTGGCCCATTAATCAGCTTGATAGCTGAGGTGCAAAATTGTATTTTAGTAATACAATTTAGTAATGTCAGCAATATCACATATTTCAACATCTGTTTCCATTGTTTTGAATCTGTTGAATTTTCTCCTTATATATCCTAATACACTTGATGAAAACTGTAAAGTGGTTGTCTCATAGTCTTTCTACCCTGTAGAGCTCAATTTCAGAGTAGGCGGGAGAGAGATGCCTTGTATCTTGGCAGTGCCAATCTCCTGCCCTCATCACCCAAAAACTCCTCTTTTAAGGTTGTACCTCTTAGAGATGCAGCTGGCATGGTTCTTTCTACACCAGCTCTGTTGGGTAGGAGGGAAGGTACTCTGAGTATAGATACCCAACTCTGAGGTCAAAGCTGTTCTCCAACTTCTGAGTTGGGAATCTGAACAATCCAGTAGCCCTCTAGACATGTCTAAGGTAATAGGATTTCTGTACCTGCCTAGTCCCAATTCATTGTCTTTGGCTATAAAAGTAGCTTTCCAGTCAAGGCCATATATAACAACACTGAATGATATGATACAAAGCTTGATTGTCAACAGCTATTCAATTAAAAATTTGTAGTAGGAGAATATGTAGTAATTTCTGAAAGTACTGGCTATACACTTTCAGGAAGAGAAAATAAGTGTCATTTAAGCTTCAATTTATGCTATTCAGAATTCTGAGAAAACAGTTCTATTGTACAAGCCTGAACATTCTAGTCATAATATAATAAAGTCAATATAATCTTGCCCAGGAATTTCTTGCAGTGACATAGCCAGCATTAAAAAGTAAAGCTAAGAAATGGCTGAGATACAGGAGCTTTAAAGTGTAGCTTTAATTTGCTTGTAGCCATTATTTGTGCAAGTACAATACACTTTTTTTTTCCTTTTGCTGTATTAGATTCTATCAAAACTTAAAGGAAGTAAAACATTTGTTTGACTTCTGTAAAATAGTAATGAAATCCTATTTGCACCAATTATCTCTTAAGTAGAAATATAAAAGGCAAAGCAAATGGAAGTTTTAAAGAGTTATTCTATAGTATTATTAAGTGATATTTCTATAGTTGTAGAACTCTCTTTGTTCTAGTTACAAACTACACAGATTTTAGTTGGATGTTTTGTAAGTATTCAGTAAAGAGATAAATATAAGTTTACTCTTAGCTTGCGTTCAAATTAGTTAAGCACTGTACCCCTAGTGGAAGTAAATATTTGTAAGAAGTTGACATCTGCCTTCTTGGCTTCCTTGATATTGGAGTCCCAGTAAAATGAATTAGTTGAGTACATACAGATTTAGATTCAGCAAATCAAAAAGAGCCCACTCAAATACAACCTTAGGGTTTTAAAAACTCTGTCTACAATAGTCAAAGTTGTAAACATTAATTTAATAACCATATTCAAGTTTGAAGGAGGCTTCTGTTTTCTTTCCACTTAGGCAACTGAAGTCTGATCTTTAACACGAAATAAAAAATCCAGGACTCCTCCAAAATAGTAAACCTGCATGATCTGGGGAGGTTTAAGGAAGAACTCGTAAAAACTTGTACTCCCTATTCACTATCTGAGAGCTATTGTAATTCATTTTTGTCTAAATTTAATTCTATCACTTGTGGAATCATTCGTTCAATATACAGGCTTTGTGTAGCTGTTCAAGATTCTAAACAACTAAGAACAGAAAGAACAAACCTAGAAAAACAAATCCAGGAATTGCAATCAAAATGCTCAAATATAGAAGGAGAAAAGTATGATGCTGTAGAAAAAGTTCGTCACACCTTGCAACTCTTAGAAGAAGCAAATCTGCAAAAGAGTCAGGTAAAGCAAAGTTCAAGGCATTGATCTTAATATCTGGATTTTATACAACTTCAATAACCCTCAAGTTAATCTTTCTGAAATAATTCAATTAGTATTATTGGCTAGCATTATTTTGTTTTAATTTGTTTGTTTTAATCTTGTAAGGAATGCATAATTTTCTGTATTTTTAGAAGTGATGCTAATGCATTTCAGTTCAAAATAAATTATGCTTGGAATAGCGCTTTAAAGCACTCATATTTTGACAATCCAAAGTATAATTTCCTGACTTGGAAGGATGGTTGGGTGGGCGGAAGAGAAGAGTTGTTTTACCTGCCTCCTGCATGCAAGACTAAGATTGATGGGAGAAGAGGATTGGCAGTTGGTGAATGTTGCACTTAATGGATACAACAAAACAAGAAGATAAGGTTGTGCTGAACTACTGGATAATTTCTCAGGTTATCAGTTTACCTTGGAAGATAGTAAATTACTCAGATTTTGATCTGTTGGTAATGGGATTCAAATAACATTTCCATAATTCCAAAATGAAAAGAAAGCTGTTTAAGACCAGGAAAGATGCAGCACTGAGCTAGGCATATGCTTTTTGTGTATGTTTCTTCTGGAAAGAGGTTCTTCCATTTTGAATGCTTTGATATACATGTTTTGGGTTGTTGTTGCAACAAAAATAACATCTGCAATTAGGACCATTTAAGAAACTCCTTTATTGCATTTATAAAATACAAAGCACATTATTAGCTGGAGTTACACTGATCTACTTACAAAAATGTGGAAGAATCCAAAACTTATTAAACATGTATTTTAAACAACAGAGTTTGGAGCAGGTAAGTAAGTATACCTACCACATTTATTTTCTAGAAAGTCACTATTTTCTATATTATTGAAAGTTGTGGCTTGGCTTATCCTCTACAATAAGATTTTACTGGCATATTCCTCTTATTTCCCACTCTAGGCTATGGTAGCTGAGAAACAAAAAGAAGAGGAAATTGAAAATATGAAGGAAGCAGTTTCTCAGTTGCTTCAAGATGCTGCTTCAAGAACTAGAAAGGAAGTGAGTTACCATGCTTCTGTATTCTTATTTATTTACTTATTTACTTACTTACCATGTATTTATAGTCCCCTGATTAACCCGACAGGGCTCTCTAAGTGGCAAACAACAATAAAATACAGACCCACATTGCAATTCTTAGTTACGGCAGGCAGGGGGATGCTGCTAGAAGTAGAATGAGCTCATGCAGACAAACAGTTGGTAAAATCAGGTCCCAAAATATCTGTGAAAGAGAACAGATTTTGCCTGGCACTGAAATGAAAGTAGTGATGGCACCTGGCAGACCTCTCTAAGCAGTCCACTTCAAAGGTGGTGGAAGCCACCAAGAAGGCCTTCTTCTAATTGCCATCCCTTTGATTTCCTTCAGGGATGGTTCTTTCAGAGGGACCTCATTCCCAGATCTCAGTGGGTGGGTGTATATGGGGAAAGGCATTTCTTCAAGTAACCAGGTCTCAAGCTGTTTAGTGCTTTACAAGTTAAAAGAAGCACTTTAAATTGGGCCAAGGCTTCAATTGACAACCAGTGCAATTTATATAAAATAGGTGTTATATGAGCTCGCAAACTGATAGTCAACACCAGATGCGCAGCCCTATTTTAGACTAGTTGAAGTCTCCAAATAAGACATTTTTTCTATTAAAAATAGCATAAATAGTACGAATACTTTAAAACTAATTTTTTTATATAAATGTGAAATTGATATTGATGGGCATATATTTCTTTCTGGATGCTTGATATTAGATTTAAATAACATTATTTGCTGAATGAAGAACTCCTACTGTTCCTACTAAACAATGTATTTCAGGCAAATTCAGTTCTATCAAAGCCATTACAAATGTTTAAATTAAATATTTTATGTTTGAAGAACTTAAGCTGCAAATTGGAATGAAGCTTCATAATTGAAATGAAAAATATGCTATATTTTAGTGTTACAGATATATACCTTATCTGAGACATTTGTGCAAGTGCATTTTTAGTACAAGTAAATTCTAATAGGGTTTAAACTGACCAATAACGGGGTATATCCAACATTATGCTAGTTGGAAAAAACCAAGAGTTAGTATTGCAACTAGTACAGATAACACCATTTAATGAAGTTGTAATGAGTTCTGCAACAACTTGCACAAGCAGAATAAAAGTATTAGATGTTACACTTGTGCACTGATAAATACAGGGTTTTTGCAAGTGGTAGAAGCTTTGTACTAGTGGAATGACACTATTAGATATAACCCCTTGTCCCTTTTTTTCTTTCTTGGTAGCTGCTTATTACCATAAGTGGTGGCAAAAGTGTACTTCAAATAAAGACGCTTTACCCCTGCTTAGAAAAGTTACTTTGTCAGTCTGGCAAATATGAAGCTTTGATACTGGAAACCAAAATGGCTGTCATGAAGTCATATTGTGTGTCTACTGTGAGATATATAACCCATTATGTATTTTCTGAGTCATACCTTTTTATGCTTCAGTAGAATCAGTGATGCTATTGACTTCACTGTAATATTTTAACTGCTCTCATTAACAAGATTAGCTTGAGGTTTTTAGCTTAGGATAATCTGAAACAGAAAAGCTTTGATGCAGCAATATTGTGCATCATTAAGTATCTAATACTGAACAAAATTGTAAGTTTGCATCAGCTCATCTCTAAATCTAAAAGTCTAGTTATGACAGAAAAAATAATATGCTTGATGTATTTATTATTGCATATATCTCACATTTTTTTCTTCTTGCTAGGAACTCTAGGCAGTTTACAAGGTTCTCCTCTCCATTTTATCTTCAGATGAGGTAGGCCTGACTGAGACTCAGTGATTGGCTCAACGTCACTCAATGAGCTTCATGGTCAAGCAGAGACCAGAATCCAGTTCTGTTGAGTCCAACAGGCTTAATCACACATTTATTTATTTAAAACATTTCTATGCCGCCCCCATTGCAACAAAGCCTCGGGGCGACTCACAACGTACATTGGCTATCGAACATCACACTGGCTCCATTTTCTCCTTGGAACTAGGTTTTGAACCATAATAAATCCCTAGTTAGTGAGGCTAGATTTAAATCATGATTTTCTAGATAATTTGCATGCCTGCCTGCCTTACCCATAGGTAGGGGAACTTCATTAAAATATTCCCAGACTGGGTCTCTTTATGACCTCCCTTCATTATACATTTTCTCCTCCAGGGAAAGAATGATATGATATGCACAAAAACATCCAAAGACCTGTGGAGTATTCTGCTCAAAAGTGTTCACTTTCATTTTTACTACTTGCCCCACCCTCCTCACACTTAGCTTCTTGTACAGATCTGTTCTATTTCCAATGATGATCTTCTATTCATTGAATTTTAAAAATTTACCACTGAAGAGGTAGGAGGTTGATTCTGCGTACAAAGATTTGCAAAGGAATAATAGGATTAAGGTCTTTTTCAATTTTTTTGCTGTAAAGAGGTATGTGATTTCTGCAGACGTAAATTCACAGTTTTGAGAACTGTAAAGTAATATCTTCTAGACAGAAAAATTGCATAAATATCCAGCCTCATACTAGATAATTAAAAACTAATCTTTATCTCATGATGTGTCTTAAATAGAAAACTATATTTAGGTAGAATTTTCCTCAAAAAGTGTTTTATTTTTTAAAATCCAATTTAAATAAAAATCCAATTTAAAATTTAGAAATCTTTCTTTTTAGGTTAATTCATTGATTTTTGTCCAGTCAGTCCAGAAGTAAGCATACTATCCTACAGGTTTGGCGCTTGAATTCACTGAAGGCCAAACCCCTCCCACAGCCAGCTTAGAAATATGCCAGCTGTTCCCCTTGAGGTTCTACCTGAGCCTTGGAGTAGGGGAAAGGACATGTCAGAGAGCAGAATAGGAAGAAGCATGAATCACATAGTTTGCACCAATTCCAATCAGTGTTCCAGCCTCCTGTCCTCTCCTTCCTCTGGCACTAAATATGAAAACATCTGTCTAGATAACACACAGAGCATAAAGCATGGTAGTAGTGGAGAGTGCCACGGCCATGTCTAAATCCAGTGTCAGCGTCCAAGTTGCCATAGGAGTGATAGAGTTGAGCCCTAAATGTGCATTCTAAGTTGCCATCCTGTATTGTTATATTGCAGCTTTAACCATGGCTTGCCAGATTAGGAATAAGACTTTTCATACATGGGTAAACCAAACTGAAACAAACTTTTGCCACTAATGATAATGAGTTGCTTATGGCATGATATATTTGTTTTCATAGCATTTTAAAAAACTAATAGAAAGCTGTGACATCTAGTGCTTAAATTCATAAAATGTGAAAGAGCCAAAAAGTGCTTGCCATATGTCTTATAGCACCTTATTTTTAATATTTTATTTTAGGAAGTATTTCCAGAAATGTATGTCCAGAAGTGTATTTAAAAATGTAGGACATGCTATTTCACACAACAATATATAAATGAAATGCATAATATTATAGTTACTTTTATCCCGCTATATATCTCAACATCATTAAACCAGTTCTGTCTGTTCATTGTAGCACTAGTAATACTTTGTTTGCTTGGCTGTTGCATCCTAAATAATAATGTAATCATTTTTTTTAAATATAGGTGGAAAATGAAAGGAAAAGGTATAATATACAGATTTCCCGATTAACAGAAGAACTAACAGCACTTCAAATGGTATGTTTTTGTATTTTGCAGAAACTGTTTGATTTCAGTTTCAACTTCTAGGAAAAAATGTGGGTTGTTTCATGAATTAAAATCTTCCCGTTTTTTCTCATACATTGGAGAAATATAAATTCAAAGGCTAATGATGTGACATGAAAAAATTCCAGTGTTTTATTTTCCTCTAGAAAAAATAGTAATTCTAAAAATTGACTGGCTTCTTAAATTCATTAATGACTTTGTTTGCACAACACAGCTTTGGGTAACCAACTATGGTGGGTTGTTCTGTCTTTCCAACCCAGAATAGTTTCTGTAGGGTAGCTTACCCTGTCTTGTTCTAGGGGATGTTCAATCCACGGTGAATTATATCAAGCATACCTGGGAGAGTAATTTTATTGTGGGTTGTAGAGAATGGCTACAGAGCTTTTTTTTTTAAAGGAGTAAAACCTTTATGCCACTCACGTTCCCAAGATTACCAGCAACTGCCCTTCTACTGATGCCAAAAGATACTTTGGAAGCACTGTCACATGTTCCTCATTTTTTTTCCTTAGAAGAAATCCTAAAAATACACAATTGAAATCTCTTATTTTCATCTCTTGAAAAATGTGAACACATTTTGTTGTTTTGCCAAGTGTACATTTACAGCTATCTAGTACGAGGTGAGACTGTACATAGACAGCTTTGTGCACAGTTTCCTGAAACTAAATGCTTAGTTGTCAATGGCAAGTTACCAGTAAAGGGCAAAAGAGCAGAGAAAGGAGGTGCACCAAAATAAGGTGGTGGTGGACATTTCACCTCCTTGCCAAAAATTTTAAGAGTTGAAGTGATAATTGACAGTGTCCTCTACCTTTTCAACATTCTCCAATGTCTGCAGCCACTCCAAAAAGGTGAAAAATTAAGTCCTATCCCCCTTTTTGAAACAGTTATTGAAAATGAACAAATGTCCCCATCATTTACTTCTCAGCTATTACATTTGCATATATATCCGTCTGCGTGTATGTATTTGAAGTATCAGAGAATCACAGTACTCACAGCACTACCTCCAAAAAGGAAGCAAAGTATGTTGTGGCAGAAGGAGCATCTCCCTTTTCTGGAGTAGTTGGAGACATGGGGAACTGTAGGAAAGATGGAGAGCGCTGAAAACTCTTACTGCACAATTAGAATTGGGAGGATTACATTGCTAAATAGGTGATAGTGCCTCTGCACTCTTTTGGTGGAACCTACTTTCCCTGCTTTTTCCTCATTTACTGTACCTTTTCTGTTGACAACTAGACAGATGACAGCTGGCAACTGTGTGCAAGTTAGCCAGTATACAGTTTTGCCTTGTTCTGCCTTTGCTCCCTTTGACAACTGAAACAGACAGGGGAATTAACCAGGCAGTAGTTCTTTGTGGTCTCTATGCATCACACATATGGGCTCTTCGACTACATGGACCCTATTGTTGATGTGAATACACAGATGACCACTCAGAGAATGACAGTTACACTTTAAGCAACTTGCCTTACTCACTTGCACATTTGCGAAAGGCTGACAAAAGTTTAAAAAAATGGACAATATCCAGGCCACAAAAATAAGAGAATGCAACCCCAATTGTATTATTTGACACTGTGTAACTTAGCCCCCAATATCTACATCTCCATGACAGAAATTTGTAAGGCCACATCTTTTCTTTTCCAGCAGTACTTTCTGTTTCTGTTTCTCTAGTCTGCAAAGCTATACATTTAGTTAGCATGTCCAGTCACCTATGCTAACCTGGAAAGGAGCAAGCCTGCAGCCAGATGGATGACTACATGTGGAAGTAGAGCAGGGACTCAGTGACACTATAGGCCCCTTCCAACTCTAGTATTCTATTTTAGAACCAATAGACTGAAAAATATTTTATTGCATGGGCACTGCTTTCTTGGGTAGCAAAAGAAGTTAGCCCATTGTGGGATCCTTTATACGCACAGACTCAGAAGTAACCTAGGAAATAACAGAAGTTCTGGTCTGTGTGCTTACTGGAGTTTCAGCCTATGCCTGGGGGGTGGAGGGCAGGAACAAGGAGATAGTGATTTTGGCACCCCTGGAAGAGTTGGTTAGTAAAGGGACAAAATCACTGAAGAGACAAGAAGAGGTGAAGAAATGAGGGCAGGGGCAAATACTACTTTTACCTCCTTCCAGCTTTGCAGGTTCCTATTTGAAATTATTTATTTAAATATTGAATTTTTATATTGCTTCTTTCCTGCATGTAAGTCAGAATTTAGAATGTCTATATAATGTATTTTCTCTCGCATGGAAACCTCAATTCCACATTTTTATTTGTGTAACTGTATAACATGCTTTATTTGCATATATCCAGTTCCAGTGTTTGAGTTATGTATTTGAGTTATACCTATTTGAGCAACATTGAGTTTTAGACCAGGCTAGACTGAAAGAAAGGTCAGTTGGTATAGAGAAATGAGATGGTAAGCATTGACAAAAACAAAGAACTAGACAAGGTGCAGTACCTTGAGTACCAGCGGCATCTCAGGGTATTTGTACAGGTACCATTTAAGAATGCCTTTTGTCATAGGATGGCATCCCTTGTTAATAAGGAAGAGCAACTGACAAATATTTTATAGTCTCACATACACAATAATCAGTGCAATTTGTTCATTCAGCTTACATAATGCAAAAATTAGTGAAAGCAGTCTCATTGTTGATTTATTTAGAGTTTTTATATACTGTTCTTTAGTAGACCCTCTCAGAATGTTACACAGCAACTAAAACAACATAAAGCATAAGACTGAAGCATTTACATAATAATCATAAAAATTCAAATATAATAAACCACAATGAACCTAAATAATAATAGCAATGATCCACAGCACACCAATCATCATATAATAAAACCAGTGTAAAATCAGAGCCTTCTATTCAGCAATTTAAGTAATGGGCAAATAAAAAGTTTTTACCTGGTGCCCAAATATCTAAAGGGTCAGTGGTAGGCACACCTGGGGAGCTGATTCCATAACTGGGGTGCCACTGCCAGGAAGACCCTTCACCTCATGGCCACCTTCCTCCAATCAGTAGGCTTTTTACAATAAATTTTATATAACTTACAGTTATCCTGTTGTTATTCAGAAAGGAAAGTCAAGGTATCAAATTGCTACACTGTAATGATGGTTCTGAACTTTACTTCTGTCTTGCAAGCAGTGAATTGCAGAAAAAAGACAGGGCACTAAAGGATAAAGAAATCTTAATGTAGGCAGAATTTGTGCTTATGTCATATGCTAAAGACAGTGCATATATTGGTGCCAGGTGCTTGATGCTTCTCCCCTGACATTGTTTGCCAAGTACAGTTACAGCAGTATGAGACTTACTGAATTTTTGAATGCCTACCCTTTGTTTCTTTGGTAGGAATGTGGTGAGAAACAGAGCCAAATTGAGCGGGCTGTCAGAGAAAGGCGAGCTGTGGAAGAAGAATTAGAGAAGGTAAAACTTACTTCCTGTTGTGCCGTTTGTATAAATCATTCTGCTTAACTTCACGGCTATATCCAGGATAATTTTCATGGGATTATATCCTAAGAAAAACATAATAATTGACATTTTCTGTAGAATAAACATAGGCAAATTATACAAACAACTCTGAGATACAGAGATACTGTTGTAATAGAATGCCTAGTTGTTCATTACAATACATTTTGTTTGCATTACATTTTTCAGATGAAAGTGCTGACATTTGCCCCTTCACGGATGCCATTGTTTGGGAGTGTCAGAGATGGATGTGGCCAGGGTTCCATTTAATCGTATTATTTTGGATAGATTTCAGTTTGTGCCATCTGATGATGTGGACAAATTACTTGGCGGTTTGAGACCACCACCTGCTCTTTGGATTCTTGCCTTTCCTGGATATGAAAAGCTGCCAGGACCGGGCTTAGCATCTGGACCTCAAAGGTGGTTAACGCATCATTGAGAAAAGGTGCAATTTCCATTGCACTTAAATAGCAAGTAGCTAAACACTTGTAAAAAAAATGGAAACCTTAATTCAGCATCTCATGGTTCTCATCCAGCATCTAATGGCCATTCTTAGATAATATACTAGAAAATGTTTGATAATACCGATTATTCAGATCCATTCCAATATGACTTCTTGGCTGGTTTTAAGTTAGAAGTACCATTGGTTCTCTGTGGTGGATGATTTACAACAGGAAATGGAAGGGGGAAATACCCCAGTTAGTTAACTTGCACCTCACAGCAGCCTTCAATACCATTAAACTTTGTATCCTGGGTCTCCTAGCTCATGTTGGACTTGGGGACATGGTGTTAATGTGTCCTTGGTCCTTTCTGGAGGTGGTGCTGTTGTGGGGTCAATTCTCACCCTCTGGCTATTGGCCTTTGGATATTTTGATTTTATTTGTTCTCCATGTTTTTTTAAAATCTACATAAAACTACTAAGAAGTCATATGGAACACCTGGAAAGTACAGGAGGCATTTCTTGCCAGAAGAATTTATTTTTTTGTTTCATCTGTTTATTAAGTGTGTTCCTTTCTGGAGGAGGCAGACCTACCTATGGTCATCCATATTCTGGTTTTATCCAGACTAGATTACTAATAATGGTGTCTTCAGCTGTTTTTAAAAAAGTTTCAGCTGGTGCACATGCCTGCCTTGAAGAGGCTTTGCCTCAAAAAACAGTATAACAATACTATAGATAAATAAATATTATCTCTAGAGGCAACTGGCATATAGTTTAGCACTTACAGAAATATTCTGCATAGATCACAAGGCCTAGTCAGACATGGCAACATCAAGTACAGTGATAGCCAGGCTTAGCATGTTAGATTTGCCCCACTGTTGTTTACCTGCTCCTCACACCCCCACTCTGTCCATGTATCAAGGAAAGGTTTGAAGTGCGCAAGCCTATATAACACATGTAAGATGTCCTATGAGCTGTAATTGCAGGCATTAGCCAAAAATCCAATGAAACATTGAAAAGGCTGTTTTGTCAATATAACAATGAGAAGGTGGGTATAATATGTTACCATAGGTTAAACTATATGTAGTATACTGGGTTTCATTTCTTTTGCTGGGGCTTCCAGAAAGCATTTTCAGGATTGATTTAGCTGTGAATTAGAAAAGTCTATTAAAAATGTGGCCACAGTATAGAGAGAGGAATGAGTGGAATATTACTCATTTATTTCCACACAATGCTGTGTAAGATATGTGTAGAGACTTAACTGTATGAAGTGAGATTCCTTGGATTCCTTGTCATATTTCTTGCAATTAGCTCTTTGTGTGAGAAAAGCAATTCTTCTGTGTTTAAAAGCTGTTTCCTGCAAAAGAGCATTTTCCTATCATTCACCTTGTACTGTGTCTGTATTTGAAAGACAAGAATGCTAAAGTAAAAAAGAAAAAGCAGATAACCATTAAGTTGGAGTGTGCACAAAATTATAATATGGGTGAATTATGTGAAGGATACGGCATTCAACAATTTGCACAATTTATTTAAAGAATTTTATTCTGCCTTCTTGCCACATATTGGTATTTGAGGCAGCTCACAAGAAGATAAAGCCTGTGAAACAGTACAAATTCAGCAGCAGCAGACAGTAAACACTGGCTTCAATCCAGACCTTGCCTCCTGCAGACAGAAGGGCTGTTTCCATCTGTGAAAGACTTCTGATCCAGTTGAACATTTTCTGCTGGCAGAACAGGCAAGGAGGCAAGTTTTGTCAATTCCACCCTACCTCTGAGTTTCCCTATGCCACTTAACAAGATGCTCCATAGGGCTAGCGACCTTCCAGAATAGCATGGAAGTTAGTTCTGCATACTACAGATGGATACAGGAGTTTAGGACTACTTCCCACCAGCCGGAGTGTACTGAGTTGTATTCTACTCAGGCAAATTGTATCTAAAAGCCATGTTACAAGGAGAGCAAAACAGCACCAGCAGCCAACCCATAACAAATGGTAAAAAACAGAACCCTCCTATTAATTATAACCTACTAATTAATATTTGTCTGTGTGTAGTGCCTTTCTATGACTAATCAAGGCAGTTTACAAAAATTCAGATAAAAACATTAAACAAATACAAACATGATAAAACATTTTAAAACATTTAAAAAGGTTAAATTAGAAAGATGTGTCTTTACTTCCTTTATAAATGCTGAAGACTACTCACAATGTTTAGCACTGAGTAGCTAAAGCAGAGAAAGCCTTTTCTCACATGTGGAACAGACAGACCTTTGTAAGTGAGGGTTTCTTTAAAAGGGCCTCATCTGCCATTCTCAGTAACCAAGCTGGTTTGTATTAAGATAGGCAGCACTTCATATAGCCAAGCCTTGAGTTGTTTAAAGGTTAAAGAACCATCTTGAATGGAGACCAGAAACAACTGGCAATCAGTGCAGATCTTTCAGCACTGAAATAATTTGATCCTGATACTGTGCATCAGTTAGCAGAATATTTACTGCATTTTGAACCAGTTCCAGCTTCCAGATGTTCTTCAGGGTAGTACTTTGTAGAGGGAATTGCCCCATGTAGAGAGAATTGCTGTGGTATAACTTTGATGTAACCAAGACATGGATAGCTGTTGCCAGATCAGGCTGACCAATGAACATCACAGACAATCAAAATCTCAGATTATAGCCTTCATCTGATGCCTGAAAGATAGTAGAGTAGGCAGAACTCCCTTGGGAGGAGATAATCATGGTGCAAAGGAAATACTACTTTCTTGAATGAAACTAGGGTGTGAAAAGTGATTACTAATATAACACAGGTGACAATGTTATTTTTACAGAGCTCTAACTAAAACAATAAGATGCTTTTGTAATTTAATCAGATATACCGTGAAGGCAGAGGAAATGAAGACGATTATAGAAAACTAGATGAACTATACCAAAGATGTCTGAATGCTGAACGTACAAAAGATGATCTTCAACTCAGCCTGCAAACAGCACAAAACAAAATCAAACAACTGCAAATGAAGTAAGTAACTTCTGTGCACTTCAAACAGGTAATGATTTCATTCATTTGGTGGTGATGGTATAGTATGCTGTCAAATTGTCCCCAACTTATGGTGACTAATGAATGAAGACCTTCAGTATGTTCTGTCCATGGCAGCCCTGCTCAGCTATTCTAAATGCAAGGCTATGATTTCTTTTTTATATCTCTTATTTAAGTCATTCACTTATTTGTTGTTTCATCGCAAAGTCGTGCCCGACCCATCACAACCCCATGGACAACATTTCTCCAGGCCTTCCTGTCCTCCACTGTCGCCCAGAGTCCACCGAAGCCCACACCAACTGCTCCAGTGACTCCATCTAGCCACATCATCCTCTGCCATCCCCCTTATCCTTTTGCTGTCAATCATTCCCAGCATCAGGGTCTTCTCCAGGGAGTCCTTCCTTCTCATTAGGTGGCCAAAGTATTTGAGTTTCATCCTCAGTATCTGGCCTTCTAAAGAGCTGTTGGGGTTGATTTGCTTTAAGATTGACTGGTTTGATCTCTTTGCTTTCCAAGGGACTCGCAGGAGTCTTCTTCAGCACCACAATTCAAAGGCCTCAATTCTTCAGTGCTCAGTCTTTCTTATGGTCCAACTTTCACAGTCATGCATTGTCACTGGAAAAACCAGTTTTGACTATATGGACTTTTGTTGGCAGGGTGATGTCTCTGCGTTTCAGTATACTGTCTAGATTCGCCATAGCTTTCCTCTCAAGGAACAAGTCTTTTAATTTCTTGGCTGCAGTCACCATCTGCAGTGATCTTGGATTCCAAGAAAATAAAATCTGTCACAGCCTCCTTTTCTTCTCCATCTATTTGCCAGGAAGCGATAGGACCAGATCCCATGATCCATTCCCTTATACTTTGCTGTGAAGTCTCTTGAGTTAGGATTTTCATAGCTATTTTGATTGATTTGATTTGATTTGATTTATATGCTGTCCCACTAGCCATAGGCTGTCTGGCTAGTTATGTATTGCCATTCCCCCCCACCCCCTCATTGAAATGTACACATTGAAATATAGTTATGTGGGCATTTCTAACTGGTTTTTATTTTGTACTGATAGGATAAAGTTTTAAAATAAATTTCTGAAGGGTGATTTCTGATAGTTATTAATCTGGGCTCTGGATGTCTTCAGATAGATAGATATATCATCATATACTATGGTTTCAATGTACATTGAAGCCATCTTATCATCGTAAGTTTTATGTAAGGAAAGGAAGCAGGAGGGAAAATGAGTTCATGATGAGATTGTGTTTCATATGTGCCTTAAAATATTTTATGGTTGCTGACAGGATCGTGCTTGGCATCAGCTAAGAGGCCAGGAATGGCAAAGACCAAAGTCTTCCCCCCTGCTCCCCCAGTACAGCTAAATGGAAAATGGCAAAATTCTTACACAGATTTTGGTACAAGTGCGAAGGGGGCCCTGCAGCACTGTGACCATAGTGAATAGAGTCCTTCTTATACTTGTAACTTAGTAAAGCCTTTCTTTTCTTGTAATATATTCACTTCCCTTAGGCTAAGCCTGCAGCTGACTTGAGGAGCTTTTGCTTCAACTGCAGCCTGCAAAAAATTATTTCCTTTCATGAATACTAAGTGTTGAGTTTCAAAATTCATCTTCTTTATATCATACCATAGTAGAGTTATTTAAATAATGTCTTAAGGCTTTTTGTAACAGCATAGAAACTAGACATGAGTTGAAATGCTTGAATTTTTAAAAAAGTTTCTAAAAATAATACCTTCTACAAGCATACCATAAAATTCAATAGTCTCTCATATTTATTGTTGGGAGCAGGCAGTATGGCAGGCTGGCCAAGCATTCCCACAGGGTACCAGCCTTACCCCAGGTGCTGATTTAGATTCGAGTGATGAAGACTGTCTCAGTAAGATTGGGAAGCTGGATTTGGCTCAAGGTCCTCCTCAACAGGGTGAGGAGCTGGAGGTGATTAGCTCAAGTGCAGACGCTTCACCACACCAGGCAGATTCTGGAAATGGAATGAACAGCCAGCCAGTGGGAGAGGCAGCCAGGAATGAGGAGCTTCCACACTCATAATACTTCCCTCCCTCTGAACTGAACTCCATGGTAAGGCTCCAGCAGAAGCAGAAGGCCCAAAGAGATGAGCAGCATGCAGAAAGGAGGCAGCCCTACCTTCAGAAGGTCTCTTCTGTGGGTTCGGGGCTCATGTGCATTCATAAGGAGAATTCTTGGAAGTAACCACAAGTTTGGGTTCAACAAACTGCTTTGTGCACGCTAGAGATTTGGTCTGTGTGATTTGTACTAGAAGCAATAAAGAGTGTTTATAAGGAAAATGGACTGTGGCTGGCATTTGTTTGAAGGAAGAACCTTAGCTCCCAACAATTATTCCAATATATATATATTAATTATGTAATGTATAGTGCTGCCACATACATGGTTACTTAGAAGTGATCCCCTTGGGATTACTCAAGTGAAGTGTGTCTGGATTTGCAGTCTTAAAGTAGTTTTTGAGTTTGTACTGATAAATATGGAAAATGAAATCTCCAAAAAGTACATATATGGTAACATGCTTATGGGAATTGCTTTTATATGTTTGTCCTGCTACAAACCCCTGCATATTAAATGCCAATAAAATGATCATTCCACAGTTAACTCCATTCTGCTATGCATCATAAGTATTGGGCATTCTGATTAAATAATGCCCTCAATGTATTTGTATGTTTCTTTTAAACTTTATTAAGCTATGAGGAAGAGATAGGCCATTGTCGGGAAATGATCTACAAGTTGCAAAGTATTCTGGACTCTGAAAGAGAGAACTGTGGCTCAGTCAGTGAAGAACGCTTAAAACTTCAACAGGAGAATGAACAGTTTCAAAAAGAAATGGAAGAATTGAGAAAACTAGTCTTGGAGGTACAACAAGCTGCAAAATTAAAGGTATTCATGTTATAATACTTCAGATTTGATTAGGAATCCAAGAGATATAGCTATACAAAATGCAATACAATATAATAATAAAAAGACAGAAATAGTTATTAAAATTGTTTGGCAAACAAACATAATGATTAAACATTAAACCTAAAATACCTGGATAAAATGGAATGTTTTGATTTGGTGCCAAAAAGAAGGTAAGGTTACTTAATGCAAGCCAATATATTAGTCACCTTTTGTAACAGGTATTTCATCTAAATGCTTAGAAATCCTCAATACAGAACATACAATCTGCATTATTAATACATTATCCATTAATAAACACTTCAAGGTTGAATCTACCAACATCATTCCATGAATCCGGAATAGGAAGTATTTCAAATACATAACCTTACTACTGAAACTCCAAAATCTCATTTCCAGGCTTCCCATTTTTTTCCTTTTATTTTCTCTCTCTCTCTCTCTTCCACCCAGGCTTCCCATTTTCCCCTCTTTATTCTCTCTCTCTCTCTCTCTCTCTCTCTCTCTCTCTCTCTCCCCCCCCCAGCTTCCCAACCCCCCCCTTTATTCTCTGTGTGTGTGTGTGTTGGAGGGGGTGGAACATGCAGTCTTTTGTTTTGCCTGTAAATTCCTCAGTATCCTCTCTTTACTTTCCCTGTGGGAGTTGCTTTCTCTTTTTAGCAGCTGAGCTGCTCCTAATCATGTCCTCTTCACCCTTCTGGAAATAACTGCTCCCTCTTCTTTAGTAGCTCAAGTTTTCAGTACTTTGTATGGGGAATATTTGTTTGAAATAAGTGTTGTGGTTGGGTCCGTACAGACTTTAACTTTGGTACTACAATACTAAACAGAGGCTTCAAACAAAATGCTTGTTATAGAACATTAAGATACCACTGAGAAAATGAATAAACCTGTTCACCTAGAAACGGTCATTGCTCACTACAAGTATTAGCTGTTGCAGTCTATGTTTCATCAGTGAAATACTGCAAAGTACTTCAAGGCAACTGGCTTGTTAACTAGCCTATGTAAAATAAGAAAGTGCAAAGCCAAAATAATTTGCAATAAATTCTTGCAAAATGTATTTTATATATGCAATTAAAGTTCTTTAACAGCTGGATATAGTTTATTCTTACTGTATTGCGTATTGATATCTTTTAGGTCTATGGTCAAAAGAACAGAGCTGCTGTTGTTCTAGTGTGCATCTTTTATTTTTCCTACAGATAAGCACAATGGAAAATGAACATTTAATAAAAGAGCATGGATTTGAAGCTCGACTGAAAGAGTTGGAAGATGTGAATCAAAATTCCACAGCTGAGTTGAGACACTTGTTGATAGCTCAACAGAAAGCAACTAACCGATGGAAGGAGGAAACAAAGAAACTAACAGAAGTGTCAGAAGCCAGAATAAATAGTTTAAAGTGAGTTATCTTTTCCCCCTTTGTATACAAGCAGTAGTATGTAGATACATTGAGAACAGCATTCCATACTGGGATAGTAGGTATTGTGATACAGGTTAGTTTTTAGGTATTGTGATACAGCTGGTTTTTAATTAATGTCATTCAGTTTTGTGACTGTCCTGAAATATTAGCTGCAACAGAATTAATCATGGAAGTAGGATAAACTCTTTCCAGTGGATAAACAGTGCTACCAGAAATTTAACTTCATTTCCACATATCTATTCGAAACTGTTTACAAGTGGACTCTGGTCTTCTGATTCAACTTAAGATGTAGCAGCATAACTAAGAATCCTGGCCTGCTTCTGGGGCTACACCCTCCCTACTTGCCTGCTATGACTGGAACATCGGTGTTCAAATGTAGTAGCTACAGTTATTAGAGTCTCCTTCAGTGGTGTTTAAATGAGTCATGGAGCATAATACAGCCCAGCCATAGGAGCTAAAATGGTAGCAAGAAATGTCTGCACTGGAATTGGAAGAAAGTATCAGATTCATTGAGCTTTTTGCTGTTTCAGTGTAAGTGCTTGGTTGTGAAACCTTGAAATTCGATTGGAACAAGAAATGCATTGTAGTTGTAAAATATTTGATCAGTTCAATCCTGTAACCATACCAGTTAGTTTAAAGGATGACTTAGAAGCTTATAAAATGCTACATGAAAGCATGGGAGAGAACTTCAAACTATGATCCCCAAGCTGCAAATATCAGATGTCCAAAATGGGCTTGAAATTGAACTTCAGGCCTCTGCACAATGGGTTAGTCACGTTATGAGATTACACCCCACCCCACCTTTGAAACAGATAATGATTGCAGAACAGTAAATATGCATGCAGTGCAATACAAGTAGCAAAGTTATTGCTGTACAGAAATTGTGTAGGAAAAATGTCATGTCCAAGATGACCCTATGGATTTTTACTTTAAAATATTATTCAGTTCTTCCCAAAGTGTTTGCAAACATTTATATCCTATTATCAGACTTACACATGTTCACATCAGACATTATACAGGCAGTCCCCCAGGTTACAAATGAGTTCCATTCCTGAGAAAACAGAAATTTGTCTTTAAGTTGAATTTGTATGTAAGTCATATCATGTATAGTTGGACCTTCCCATTTGCAGGGGTTGGGGGTGCAGGACCCTGTGAAAGTGGAAAAATACATAGATATCTCTGCACCCCCCTCCATCTGCCCAAACTCGGTAGAGTCTCCTCTGCAGCAAGAAAATGCCTGAGGGATTTCCCTCTCCAGATGGGTGGGGCAGGAAGGCATGCTTTGGAGGCCTTCTCTCTTTCCTCTTTCACTTCCTCTATAGTAATGATGATTTTTCACAGTAATTTTTAACAATTAATAGACTTTATCTGTAAGTATGGGTTGTTTGTAACTCAGATGTTCATAACTCCAGGACTGCTGTAGTAATCTGCAAGCATATGTGAAGATCTGCTGTAGCAGTGTTGGCAGATGCTGTCATATAACAAGAAAACTCCTGTGCATAACAGTTTGTAGAGACTTGATTTAGAGACTTGAACCAGGATCGTGCCCAGTCTTTGTGTTTCTGTGAAATATGTTTGCTAACTGGAGTATGATGCTATCTATATGGTAGCTTGTTACCCTTAAGAGAAGAGATAACGTTGAGGTTGAGTAATTCATTTTAATAATATGTTTTATACCTCCTTTTGAGGTCCTTTCTTGTTCTTCCAGTTTGCATTCCATTTTTTCTTTGAGTAGTTACTAATGCAAGCATGATTTATTATTCTGTAGTAACAGACGTAACGTAAACAGTCTCAAAGAAGAAATAAGCCTAATGGTTTTTGTTCCAGCTTACATATGTCATTGAAGTATCCATTACACTCATGTTTGCCATGATGTATCTTCATACTCCAGGCTGTTGCAGAGCCATATCCTGAATTCTAAATATTTAAATATGGCAGGACACGTTATTAAAGTTGCAATTACCTTTAGAATATACTCCCATGAAATACTGCTCTGTTTTTGCTTCTGCTTTAACAAGAAAATTGTCATTGAAAGTAAAGTTCTTAGCTTGTGAAAATCTGTTCCTCTTCTGGGTAGGAATGCAATCCTAGATGAGGTAGATCTTGATTCCAGAAGTGGAAACACTTAAGAAGAGGATAAGAACATAGGAGAGCCATGCTGTATCAGACCATGGTCCATCTAGTCCTGCACACTGTTCACATAAAGGCAAACCAGCTGCCCACAGGGTCCCTCAAGCAGGATGGGTACAGAGTTCTTCCTTCCTAGGCTCCTCAGCAACTAGTGTATGCAGGCCTGCCACCTCTCATAATTGAGGTAGCGCCTAGCCAGCAAGCCTAGTAGCAATTGATAGTCTTGTTCATGAATTTGGCCAGTCTCCTTTTAAAGCCGCCCAGCTGGTAGACATCACTGCTTCCTGTAGCCGTGAATTCCATAGTTTAAGTATGAAGAAGTACTTCCTTTTTTCTGCCATGAATCTCCCACCAATCAGCTTCATGGGATGATTCCAAGTACCAGTATTATAGAAGAGGGAGAAGATTATCTCCCTCTTTGCCTTCCCCACACCTTTCATAATTTTAAATGCCTCTATCTTATTTGCCTTTTTTCTAATCTGAACAATTCCAGTTAATAACCATTCTTCATAGGGGAGTTGCTCTAATCCCTTGATCATTTTAGTTGCCATCCTTGCACTTTCTCCAACTCACTAATGTCCGTTTTCAGGTAGAGGGACCAATATTCCAAGTGTGGGCACTCTAAAGGGGAGTACTATCTTGGCAGTTCTACTTTCAGTTTCTTTCCTAATTATGACTAACAGGGAGTTTGCTTTTTTTCCCCACAGCACTTCCAAACTGGGCTAACATTTCATCAAGATGTGCACCACAATTCCAATATTCCTTTCTTAAGCAGGCACTACTAGCTCAGATCCCATAGCTCATATTAGAAGTGGGAATGTTTTGCACCAGCATGCATTATTTTTAATGAACTGCATTTGCCATTTTGATGTCCATTTTTCCAGTTTGGAAGAATCCCTTTGGAGCTCCTCACAGTGCCTTCTGGTTTTAAACATCCTAAATAGTTTAAGTGTCATCAGTAAACTTGGCCACTTCATTACTTACTTCTAATTTCAGTTCATTTATGAATAGGTTGAAAAGCTTTGGTTCTGATACAGAACACTGTGGGAATCCACTAGTGACATCTCTCCACTGGGAGAAATTTCCATGTATTTCCACCCTCCATCTTCTCTTCTTTAACTAGTTAGTGACCCATAAGAGGACCCTTCCCCACTTTTATTTTACAACTGCTTAGTTTGCCCAGAAGCCTTTCAAGGGGAACTTTGTCAAAAGCCTTTTGAAAGCCCAAATAAACAATTCCTATTGGTTTGCCCTGTCTCCATGTTTATTGACAATGTCAAAGAATTCTAATAGGTTAGTGAAACAAGACTTCCCCTTGCAGAAGGCATGCCAATTTCTTTTTTCCAGCGGCATTTGTTCCTGTCTGCTTACTGATGTTTCTTTCCCTCCCTGGCATTTGCTGAAATTCTAGTTCCTTACAGTGCTTTTTACTACCGTATATATTAGTCTTGGGCTGGACATTTTGGTTTATGATTTGGACTTAGTTTAAACATGTCTCAGTCAATATAGTATCATGAATTTTCAAAAGGCTTTTGACCTGGCAAAGGAGCACTGGTAAGATTAGCTTTTGAATATAGGTCTGTGTGAGGACTGGACCTGCTTCTCCTCAAATGCAGCATTCCAGGGTGGTTAACTTGGACTATAAATCTGAACTAGAAGAAAAGGGAAAGGTCTGAATTCTTAGCTGAAATACCAAGAGCAGAAAACTCCAAGATAAGCCAAGTAGCTGGTGAGAACCAGATCAAGTCTTGTTCAGGGAAAGACACTGTTGAACAGGCAAGGCCTAAGAAGAAGGAATGCAATTTAATAAGATTCACTAGGTCAACAGAAGTGGCCAGTTGAGTAACATCTGGCATACCTGCCTTCTGGTCCACAAGCAGCGGGAACCTCTCTAAGGGTGAAGCAAATTGTTTGATAGGGAGGAGAGGAGATGAATTCAATTTGGAATCTACTTGTTGGCATGAGCAGTACCTTTTCTCTTTAATTAGCTGGCTCATTAACTTTAAGCTTGTCTTTTGCTAATGACCTCTGCAATGCTACCTTTGCATCACAAACCCAGGTTGGCTGGATCAATTTTACATGACTGTAGTTAGACATTTCTCTTCTTAATGTGCTTTTAAGGGAAGAGGAGGAGGTGGGGCATATCAGGACAGACTACATCTTAATGCCCGAGCCAGGTGCTACATTTGGTTACTATACTGAAGGCCAAAACATCAGCCTCTATTTGCAGCACATCCAAGTACATACCTTCCTAGAAGGCAGCAATGAGAGAAATGTACCAGATACCATCTCTGACAGATTTAAGTAAATGTAGAAATGGAAACCACCTCACTGGTCAAAATAAAACTAGCTGTAGCACAGACTGAGGCAGTAGGAACCCTGAAGAGCCAGTGCTGATGTATCACAACTCCTGGATGACCCATTAGCATTACATCTAAATCAATGAGCGAAATAGCTATAAATGTTAAGCCCACCACAGGCCTTCCACCGTTGGAGCAGTAAAATTGGGAAAAATATTTTTAGTCAGGCATCAATTTTTTTGAGTCCATACAGGATAGACAACTTGCTAAACAATTCTGCATATTATTTCTTGATGGCCACGTAGGGGGAATGCAAAAAGAGTATTGTAAAAGAGGGACAGAGAGAAGCCAAACCTATTCCCACTGGCCTTGAGTATTTGGAAGGAATTGCAGGGTCCTCAAACAAACCCAGTGGCAAGGTGAGCACAGTGTTGTCTAGACATTTGTTGAATATGCTTAGGAGGAAAAAGTTTACCTTGGAGATGTCTAGAAAATTTTCTCTCTTCTTTAGATTATCCACTATCCTTTCTAAAGGGAGAATTGGACCCC